GTCGGAGCTTATTGGTCTTCGCTTGTTGTTGTTGCTTGTTTAGTTGCTGTTGTGGCTTGCTGTTGCGTTGGTTGCTGGTGTTGCTGTTGGCGCTGTTGTTTTGCTAGTTGCTTTTGCAACTGTGTTGATGTAGCTGTTGCTTGCGCGTGTTGTGCTGCTTGCGTGGCGCTGCTCGCTCCTTCTAATGTTCTGGCGTCCTCGCGGCCGGTGGTCGCCTCGTTGAGAGCCCCCAGCGCCTCGTCCTCACTCTGCCCGAAAGCGCCTCGCTCAGAGCTCCCAGCGGCTCGCGAGGCGCCTCGAGGCTGAGTCGAGACTCGGAGCCGAGGCTGGAGGCGAGGCAGGGCTCGGCGCCGAGCGCCAGGCATCGCGCTGCCTCGTCGTCGCGGGCTTTCAGAGGCGCCTGCGCTTCTGCAAGTGCGTGTTGTCCTCGAGCTTGCTGTTGTTCTGGCGCTGCTTGTCCTCGAGCTTGCAGGGGCCCTTCTTGCCCCCCAGATTGACCTCCAGCTTGACCTTCTTGTCCTCCAGCCTGACCTCGAGCTTGACCTTCTTGTCCTCGACCTTCTTGCCGTCGAGGCTCTCGCCGTCCGACCGCCCGGCGAGAGGCCGACGCGCGTCGCTGTCGGGCTCGGACATGGGGCGTTGCGTCCCCAGCTGGCTTGGAATGCTGGATCCTCAATGGGCCACGGTTGCTCCTTGCTCTTGTTGTGTGTATTGTTGCTGTTGTTATTTGTTGTGTTGTTTATTGTGCTCTTGTGTGCTGTTGCTGCTGATACCTGCTCTTGCTGTTGTTTTGCTGGTTGCTGTTGCTGTCATGGCTGCCGCTGTTTGCGCTCCTGCTGCTGAGAGGGAGAGAGAGAGAGAGAGAGAGAGAGAGAGAGAGAGAGAAGAGAGAGAGAGAGAGAGAGAGAGAGAGAGAGAGAGAGAGAGAGAGAGAGAGAGAGAGAAAAAAAAAAGAGAGAGAGAAGGTGTGTGTGTGTGTGAGTGTGTGTGTGAGAGTATGTGCGATAGTGTGTGTGTGTGTGTGTGTGCGTGTGTGTGTGTGTGTGTTACTGTGTTTGTGTGTGTATGCGTGTGCGCGTCTGCGCGCGTGCCCGCCAGGTGTCGAGGCTCGACCCTCGATCCTCGCGTCGAGGGCCCGGGGTCCTGGATTCCAAGCTTGGCGATCCTCGGGTATGGGATCAGAGGTGCTCGCAGATGCTCAAGACAGAGATCTCGGATGAAAGATCGAGCCTGCTCGATGGCCGTCTGGGCCCGGGGGCGGCGACGAGGGATATCGACGATCGCCGAGGCTCGACCCTCGGGCGTCGAACCCGACATCTTCGAGTCCAAGCGTTGCGACCCTCGGATCAAGGATCCAAGGAGCTCAGATGCTTGGAATCAAGATCTCGGATCCTCTATCCTCGATCCGAGGATCGAGCCTCCCCGATGGCAGTCTGAGCGCCTGGGGGCGGCCAGGGGGGCGATACTATCGCCGAGGCTCGATCCTCGATTCTCGGATGGCGAACCCGAGATCTCCGAGTCCAAGCGTGGCGATCATCGGATCGAGGATCCAAGGCGCTCAGAGATCCTTGGAACCAAGATCTCGGATCCTCGATTCTCGATCCGAGGATCGAGCCTGCTTGATGGCGGTCTAGGCCCGAGGACGGCGACGAGGGCGACTGACGATTGCGATCCTCGATCCTCGGATCGCGAACCCGAGATCTTCGAGTCCAAGCGTGGCGATCCTCGGACCTGATCCAAGGCGCTCGAAGAGGCTCGGAACCAAAATCTCGGATCCTCGATCCGACGATCGAGCCTCCTTGATGACGGCCTGGGCCTGACGACGGCGACAGTGGCGATCGACGATCGCCTGGGCTCGATCGTCGATCCTCGGATCGCGACACCGAGACCTTCGAGTCCAAGCGTGGCGATCCTCGGATCTAGGGCCCAAGGTGCTCGAGGATGCTCGGGCTGGGCTCAAGATCTCGGGCCCTCGATCCGAGGATGGAAGATCGAGCCTGCTCGATTGCTTGGCGCTGGACCGAAGATCACTAGGCAACAGGGGGGGGTGCAACCCGCAGCTGGGAGGCCCACTCGCGCGTGCTCGAACGCTCGCTTGGGGCTTGAACAGCAGATGGGGCTCGAGCGTGTGCCTCGAAAAGCTCGCGCGGCACCCTCGTGGCAACATGCATGGGGGCGCTTGGCTCGGGGCGCTCGTGTGCCGGGCTCTCAGGCGTCCGCGAGCGTGAACTTGTCGGCCTCTGGCTCGGCCTTCGCGTCGGCCTGGCTCTTCCCGGGCTCGCGCATTTTCTGGTGATCTTGTCGTGGTCGGCGTGGGTCTTGGCGAACGCGCCGGAATCTAACGTGATGTGCTGGTTGAGACGCGTTGTCTCGATGTCCTGCTGCTTGACGGTGCTCGCGCAGTCAGGCTTGGAGCGCTTGTCCTGGTAGCTCCGCTCCTGCAGCTCGTGCGCCATGTCGGCTGTCCTCTTCGAGCTCCGGCGCCACTTTGCGACCGCTTGCGCGGTGGCCTCGGCGCGGTCAGGACTTGGCGCCGCGCCGTTCTGGCGGCGCCAATTGATGAACTAGCCTTCGGAGGGATCAACTCCAAGAGCTGCTCGGAATTCACGCCGGTGGGCTCCGCGCCCCGCTTCTCGACGGGCTCGAACTTCTCGCTGGTCGGCAGCGCGAGGTCGCGGGGGTGGGGGAGCTCGGCGGGGATGTCGGGGGGGCGCGCTCGGCGCGGGAGCCGTGGGTGAGGCGCTGGGCGTTCTCGGCGCCGAGCTTGATGTCATTCTTCTTGGCAAGCTCCTGCATCTTCGCCTGGAAGCTCGGCGCGATCCAGATGAGGTTCTCGGGCAGCTCTCCGTGATTCTCGAAGATGTCGTAGACGTGCTCGTCATTCTCGCATCAGGCCTTGTCGGGCAACGCCGCCGCCGGCGCGATACGCCTCCTGTTCTTCTCATTGAAAATGTGCCCGCGCTCGATGCTCTCGAGAGACCCGCCGTTGTAGACCATCCCGAGGGCGCCTTGCTGGGCGCTGCTTGGCCACGAGGCGCTCTCGTCCTTGAAAAAGTAGGCCGTCATCCTTGGTGCGTCAATGCCTTGCGCGCTCGATTGGCATTGGCGCGTCTCGGCAGTCGCGATCTTGTCAGCGATGAACGCGAGCTCGTCGAGGATTGCAGCGTTCTGCTTGGCCGTGCGCTCGAGGATCTCGTTCGAGTTCGGGCTCGCGCTCTGGGCCGCGACATTCTCGAGGGCCTCGACCTGCTGGCTCGCCTCCGCGGCGCGCTCGGCGGCCTGGCTCATGGCCCAGGCTCGCGACGCACTCAGTTGCAACGATGGGGGGGGGGGGGATAGGCATTAAGGGGGAACGTCGATTTGGAATCGGCGATGCATCGGCGATGCGCGCCCGATCGTGAATCCGCGCGTTCTTGGGCAGGCTCGGCACGCCTATCCCCCCGTATCGCTGCCCCTGGGGCGAAGAGGCTCGGCGCCTCGAAAAGCCCGAAAACTTGGAGTCTCGGAAACTCGGGCAAGCTCGGGCCTGGGCAGCTGCGGGGGTAGATGAGGAGGAAGAAGAGGAGGAGGAGAAGGAGGAGGAAGAGGAGGAGGAAGGGCCACGAACCGTGTGAAGGATGCACACAACAAATAATTAAATCCTGTGCTATGCCTGCTCGAAAAACGCATGTCCAATCAAAATCCAATCGGTCCCCATGGCCCTGCCGCGCGTTTCTGAGTCGGGAACGGCTGAGAAAGTGAGAATCCCACGGCGCTGCCGCACGTTCGTAACTTGGGCAAACTGAAGTGGTGATCGTCCCAGAGCCCTGCCACACGCTCGTGACTGCGGAAGCTGATATGGTGAGACCACCATGGCCATGCCCAATGTTCCCAATGTTGTTGCCAGTCAACACGAGATGATCGCAACTTCGATTCACAACTTCCCCCGTGGATTAGAAAGTTCGGCCTCCGCGCCCTCCTCCCCGATTAAATCCTGTTGAACGGGGGTAATACAAATAAATAGCCTTGCGGGGGGGGTACTTCATTATCGCCCGGACGCGGGTACATGTTTGCTCTTCTTCGGGTATGATCATGTGCTCCTCCTCCTCCGCCACTACCCAAGGAAACAGGGGAACACGGGCAGGACGACCTGCTCGGCATCGGCGACGACGGCGAGTTATTTTTGTTCCCCTATCGGCGGGGGGGGAAGGCCCGTCGCTGGCCCGAGAGGTGCGGATCAGGTCAAGGGCGCCGCACTGAGGCGCACGAAGGTTCGCTCCGATGGGCCCTCCAGGGTCGGGGGGAGCGAAAGGGGGGGATAGCAAAGGGTTTAGGGTAGAGAGTCGGCCAACGTAACTGATTTCCCAGCGCCTCCCGGCGCCAGGAGGCGCCCATGTATCGAGTGGGCCCGGCGGCGGGGCCGAACCCAACTGCATGCAGCAGATTTCGTACCCCCCCTTCCCGTATACCCCCCTTTCGTTCGGCCGGAGTTTGGGCTGAACCGTCGGACTTCTCTCTTTCTTTCTCTCTCCATGGCGTGCGACGCCCGCCCACTGGGGAAATCAAAAGGTGCCGATCCCGTCACTCCCCGGACCCCTCCTGGGCTGCGTTCTCACGAAGGTTCTGGAGCGAATCCGGCGGTGGCGACGAAGGCCTCCCACGGGAGGCCCAGAAAGGGGAAAACGGGCAAAGGGTAGAGGTATGGGTGCATTCTCCTTCTCGGCCCCGCCCCCCATGAGGAGCAGCGGCAAGAGCTTTGGAAACCCGAAACGTTGCGGTGACAGACCGTGCAGTGACCTCGAAATCCTCCAAGACCTCACCGCACGGTCCGTCAACGCACGGTTTTGGGACCTCTGATGCCCCAGTCGCCCGAGACATCCTCGGAGAACGACCCGAGTCCCAAAACCGTGCGGTGACCCCGAATCCCCACCGACTCACCACACGGTATGGTCATCACCCCGCCTGGTGGCCCCCGAAGAGCCCGGCTCCCACGGGGGACCGACCCCGGGGGGGGGGGACCCTCAGCCGCACGCCGCGGAGCCCAGGAGGCGGTGGGCCCTGTCCGCGTAGAGCGGCTGGTCGCCGACGGACCTGCCGCGGTGGGGCCCGCGCCCGTCCGACCTCGTGGACGAGGAGGAAGATCGGCGGCGCGCCCGGGGGGGCCCGATAAAACGAACGCCCGAGGTCGCGAAACTTTTGGCGCTCCGCGCGGATTTCTTGGATCCGCGCTGGGCCCCCCTCCATGGCGCGCGGAGCGCGCCAGGGGCGGCGCCGGAGGCGCCGCCAGGGGGCCCCAGCGCAGATCCAAGAAATCCGCGCGGAGCCTCGAACATTTATGTTTATGTTATGTTTTCTTCTTCGAAAACCGGGCCCCCGATGTCGCGATCGAGGAAATGCCCCTGGGACCAGCTCAGGATGGGGGGGGGGTAGGTTCGAGCTTGCGTCGGCGATACACATCGCCGATAGATCGGCGATGGACCCGGATTCGGCGGCGAGCGAGGGGGGAGAGTGAGAGGGAGAATGCCTTCCTCAGAAGACAGCGGGACTTCTCAGAAGTGATCGGTCTTCGGGGAAGGCTTCGAACACTTCTCCCGCCCGACCTTGTGGACAAAAAGGCGATTACTGGGATGTCTTCGTCGGAAAGATCAAGGAAGATTAAGCCCCATTGGGGGGCTGCTACGCTGGATTGGGGCGCGGATTGACCGGGATGAAGCCGGATGTAGCGGGATCCAACCGGATTTAGCGAGATTCGGCTGGATCAAGCCGGATGTCGGACTAGGGCAAAATCAGAATGTAACCTCCCACGAGCTGCATCCGAACATGTGGAGGAGGAGGAGGGAGACCACGGCGAACCCAAGACTTATCAACGATGTTGCAATAAGACCCTCCCTCCAAATCCCCTCATCATAAGCCCCATGCACGGACCCATGCTCACTGAGAGGCGAATCCCGTCGGAGAACAACCGTGCGATAATGCGCAACTGCGCCAGAACACCTTTCCAGGGACATCAACGCCTCAAAACACCGTTATTCATGCGTCTTGGCGATCCTGAAATCGTGCCAGAACACAACCGCGTATCAACGTGACTGCTGCGCCCTGACGCTCCGAAATCATACCAAAACACCGCTTTGGGGATGTTTAACCATGAGCGAAACCGCTGCAAACACTTAAGACGAATAGTGCGGCGATAAAGCGATAATTAACCACATTCTGATAAGGCAAACATTCAACACGAACGCGCGCGGCGCTGAAGCGAGAACCGCATTTTGAAAACGGGCCGCCCTCTATTCGTGAAGCTCTTGCAAACTTTGAAAACGCATGTGCGCGGCGCTAAAGCAAATACCACATTTCGAAAAAGGGCCGCTCTCCATCAGTGAAATTCTTGCAAATACGAATCTTCAAAATCATGAATGGTGAAAAAGTCTTGGGCGAAACACCCGGCCCGCCCTTTCGACCAGCGATGGGGTGCGACAGGGAGGAGTCATCTAAGAGGAGAAGGGGTGGAGAACGAGAGGAGGAGCAGGATGAGGAGAAGGAGGAGGAAGAGGAAGGAGAGGAAAAAAAAAAAAAAAAAGAAGAAAAAAATAAAAAAAAAAAAAAAGAAAAAAATAGAAAAAAAAAAAAGAAAAAAAAGAAAAAGAAAAAAAAAAAAAAAAAAAAAAAGAAAAAAAAAAAAAAAAAGGGGGGGGTAAAAGGAAGGAGAGGAGCGCGTCAGAGGCGGCGCCGAAGGCGCCGCCAAGGGGAGCCAGCGCCGATCCAAGAAATCCGCGGATACCTCCGGGACAGTCTGTTTGTAGTATTGCTTATTCTTCGAATGCAAGAGATGGCCAAGCGGGAAAGGGCAGCCGCAGTTCGATATCCCCTTTGGGATAACGGAAGCCGATTCTGCCACAAAATGGAACCCTGGACCCAGGGGTTGTCCCCAGGACCAGCTCTTCATTCCGAATTGTTTTTGACGCTCCTGGGGCCCGCGGGGGAGACCCGCTTCTCTCGGGGCCCCACTTCGCCATGGCGGCCTTCCTCCTTCGCCCGCTGAGGGAGGGGGCCGCCGAAGGGGGGTGGACAAGCCCAGGGGGGGGAGCACAGGACCTGGTATCGACGAAGCATCGCAGAAGACCGGCGATGGGCCCCCGATGGGGCAACCGCCGTTACTGGGCAGGTGGGGTCCCCACTGGCCCAGGTCGGCGAGGGTATCGATGTTCGGTGGCAAACCGTGGGAGCCTCCCATACCGTCTTGTCGGCTCTGGCGAATCGACGCCACTCGACGCTGGGTCGACGCTAGCCGACGCTAAGTCGGCGCTATCCCATCGCCTCCCAGGCGCTCATCGACGCCCTTCGGCGCCGAACACATGACTACGAGGGTACACTAGGCTTAAGTTGGGCCTGTCCCTCTACAGGGGGAATTTTCAAAAATAGTAAAAAAATAGTCTGGGGACGATTTGTTTAGCATTTTTTCTGACAAGCTTGGGCTATCATATGACTACCTTTTCATTTTTCGTCGCAAACTCCCCTGTCGGAGGGCAGGCCCGACGTAACACTAGGCACCCACGACTTGCCCTCCTCCTCCTCCTCCCCCTCCTCCTCCTGCTCCTCCTCCTGCTCCTCCTCTTCCTCCTCCTACTCCTAGAACTTTTTAATTTTCGTCCAGAGTTCCCCTGTAGGAGGGCAGGCCCGACGAAACACTAGGCACCCACGACTTGCTACCCAATCCAGGCTTCCCTGAGGAGTCATCCCCTCCCCCTGTCGGCGCCTCCGATCCTCCACCCTCTGTGGGCGCCTCTCCCGGGAACTCAGGAGCACCTCCCCCGCCCCCCTTACCCTTCCTTGCCCAACTCCGCTCCCACCTCTCCCCCTCCCTCCTCCTCCTCCTCCTTCCTCCTCCTCCTTCTCCTCCCCCTGTCCTCCTCCTCCCTCCTCCTCATCCTCCTCCTCCTCCGCTCCGCCTCCTTCCGCCTCCTCCTCCTCCTCCTCCGCCCCCCTCCTCCTCCTCCTCCGCCTTCTCCTCCCCTTTTCTCTTCTCCCTCTCTCTTCTCTCGCCCCTCTCCCAAAATGTCGAAGACACCACCTCGCCCGCGGGGGGGCAACGGAGACGACGGCCGTCTGGCTTCCCCGGTTGTCCCTGCTGCTGTCTCTCGGGGGGTGGCGAGCTGGTGCGCGTGTGCCCCCGCCACAAGACCGCAGAATCGCACCGAGCAAAACCTCGGCGCGTACGGGGAAAAACAGCGAACAGAGCCTCCCGCGGGCCATCGCTCTCGTCGCAGAGCCACCCCCTATCGCGGGGGGCCCGCCGCGAGCCGTGCCCCCCCTGTCGGCGCCCCCCCGATGGGGAGGAGAACCACGGGGAGTGGACCCGGCCCCAGGGGGGGGAAACCATCGATCTGGAATCCGGCGATACATCGCCGATTGGATCGCGACGGGGTTCCTTGGCGGTTGGGCTATTAGCGGCCCCCACAATTATTTAATTATAATTTATTATATATTTATTAATGGGTTGGGTATATTATGGCAACCTATATTTAATTTATTATATATTTCATGTCAATATTCCAATATAGTATTGATTAATTAATAGTTTTCCCCCCAATTTTATGTGGATCTTTTATTTCCAATTATCTTATACAATAATAAAAATATTATGGGGCGATGGAATGGCGACCCGGCGGGCGTCACTGACGTCCCAGAGGCCCCGTGGCTTCGGGCTCGTAGCCCGGCTCGATCTGGGCCCCCCCCAGCTCTCGGCGAGGCGCAGCTGCTGGAAGGCATCCCCGAGCTAGAGACCCGCCGAGAACCCACGAGACCGTCCGAAAATCTCGTGCCCCAGAAGCCCAAAACGTTCCCCCTGACGCTATCCCCACCCCAGCGCTGCCTTTGAGGGGAGCAGCAGGATAACCCTAATGTCGATGCATCCCTCGATGCATCCCTTGACCAAGGACCGACCGTCCTGGCGTTTTTGTTCATGAACATCTTTAACCGATCCCCATCCCCAGCGGCGTGGCCTTGGCCCCACTGGCGGATTTACCCCCTACATGGGAATATAAGCTGTTCCATCCGGGCTTCAAGGGGCCTAGCCCCCAAAAGGGGGGGGGGGGCGGCATGCTGGGGCTGAGATACCATGGTCCAGTGGGGATGGGAATAGGTTACATGGTACTGGGTCGAGCACGCACATGAAGTTCTTGAGCACCCTTTGGCGGGCCTGCAGGCAAACCTGGACGCTTCGTTGCTGCTTAATCAAAGCCCGAAGTCGAGCTATCCCCCCTGAGCCCATTCCCCCTCCCCCGCCCCCGACTCACGCTGCCCCCGAGCTGCCGCCCCCAAAGCGCCTCATGGCCCTTCGGTGCAGGTCCGTGGTCGCGGGCGCCTCGCCGGCGCGGCCGTGGAGTCCTGCGCGGCGCGGGCGGGGGGGAGGGAGGAGGAGGCGGAGGAGGAGGAGGAGGAGGAGGAGGAGGAGGAGGAGGAGGAGGAGGAGGAGGGGGAGGGGGAGGAGGGAGGAGAAGGGGGAGGGGGAGGCGCGGGCGGGGGGGAGGGAGGAGGAGGCGGAGGAGGAGGAGGAGGATGAAGAGGAGGGAGGATGGACCAGTGTAAACTCACGTGCCATGAAACGATGCTGTAATAGAGCCTCCCTCCGAACTCCCCTGCACAGGCCCCAACAACGGTCCACTTCCACTGAAGGAACCGCCGCGTTGGAAAACAACCGTTTGAAGCCCCTGAGGCATGCCAAAACATTGTTCTCGGGATTCGAATGCCACGGATCAACCTGTCTTTTGCGTCTTGACGATCCTGAATCGTGCCAAGAATCCATTCTTGGGACTTAAACGCCGCGAATCCACGTAACTGTTGCACCCTTATCATCCGGAATCCTTCCAAACACCCATTCTTGGTACGTTGATCTTGGGAATCCGTGAAACTCTTGGGAATTGTTATTACGAATGTGCGCGGCACGAATAAAACGCCCTCACTCCGTGAAGCTCTTGCACATGTTTTAAAAATAATGTGCGCGGCTCTGAAGCGAGCCGAGAAACTCTTGCAAAGTAAGGTACGCGGTGCTAAGGTACGCGGTGCTAAAACGAAAACCACATGCTAAAACGACCCGCCGTCAATCCGTGGAATGCTTGCAAATTGTCAGAACGAACGTGCGCGGCGCTCAAACGAACATCACATGTTGAAAACGGCCCGCCCTCAATCCGTGAAAATCTTGCAGAGGTTTAACAAGACGGTGCGTGGCGCTAGAAAGCGAGAGCCACATGTTGAAAAACACCCGCCCTCAACTCACAACACTCTTGAAACCTATTGAGCACGAAAGTGCGCGGCGCTAGAAAACGAGAACCACATGTTGAAAACGATCCGCCCTGAATCCGTGAAGCTCTTGCAACAAATAAATTTAAAACGAAGGTGCGCGGCGCTACGCGGAGCTACATTTTGAAAACGACCCGCCTTCAATCGGCGATATCATTGCAAGCTTGTCAAACGAATGGCGTGGCGCTAAGGCGAGAGCTACATTCTGAAAACGGCCCGTCCATTAATTATCTGTGAAGCTGCTGCCAATATTCAAGCTCCAAGGTCAGAAATGGTGAGGGAGTCTCAGACGAAACGCCCTGCCCGCACGGAAAACTGGCCTCGGGATGCCACGGGGACAAGCTGTGCATGAGGAAAAAAGAATGAAGGAGGGAGGAGGAGGGAGGACGGCGGAGGGAGGACGGCGGAGGTGGGGCTCGAGTGAAGGATCCTGCATCTGGCCGCCCACGCGGCGCAGCATCACGAGCAGCCCTGCCGAGAGCCGAGGCCAGCGGCCAACACACCAATGAACAAAGCCAGCCACCGACACTGCGCTCGGGAGGCTCCGCCCCACAAGAACGCACTGCGTGGGGCAAGCTCCGTCCCACAATCATGCCCCCGCTTTGCAAAGCCGGGCCCTCACTCGGAGCCTCCTTCGGGGGGAGCGAAAAGGGGGGGATAGCAAAGGGTATAGGGCAGAGAATCAGCTCACGCAGCTGACTCTCCGGGCGCCTCCCGGCGCTGGGAGGCGCCCGTGTATCGAGGAATGGGCCCGGCGGTGGGGCCGAAGCCAGCTGCATGCAGCAAATTTCGCAACCCCCCACCTTTCCCTACGCCCCCCTTTCGCTCGGCCCGCCTCCCGGAGGCGACTGGAGCGTGGCCCACGCCCCGCGACCAGGCGTCCGAGGAGCCTCGCGCTCTCGCGGGGCGGGCGGTGCCTGCTCTCCGGCGCGGCAGCCGCACCAGACTCCGCCTGAATGCAGAGCCTCGGGGGCCCCCCCCTCCCCCTCGATTCTTGGGCAGGTCCCCTGCTTGGCTCTCGGGTCAAATTCCCCCCAAAAACCTTTTGCGAATCTTGCAGGGAAAATGCTCAATCAGGTGTATGGCATGAGCCGTCCCAAATCGACCACAGCACGCGCGGAAATTGAGCAAGCACTTTGGCCGAGTACAGAAAAAAAGGAGGGAGGAGGAGGATGAGGATGAGGACGAGGAGGAGGAGGAGAAAGTACGCGACGGAGGCGCCTGGGCTGAGCCAGGCGCCTCCGCAAGAACGATGTAAGGCTCTGGAGCCCTGTCAAAGGACCATTGAATCGGACTGGGCGGGAGTAGGCTGGCCGAAGACTCAGCGCTGGAGCCAGCGGAAGCAAGCCAGAACTAGCGAAACTGTGCCAGATCAGCGACCACGGCATACACCAGCGCCGATGCTGAGTTTGACCTTGACGATTTGCATCCTGAGCTGAGGTGCGGAGCGGAGGCCTCGGGGGGAATGGGAGGGGCAGCGCTGGCGTCCTCCTCCTCGCTCCGCCTCCTCTTCCTCCTCCTCGCTCTTCCTCCTCGCCCATCATCCTCTCCCTCGCTCCTCCTCATCCTCTTCCTCACCCTCTTCACTGTTCACTCCTTCTCGATCCCCCTCGCTCCTCCCCCTCGCTCCTCGCTCCTTCTCCTCCTCCTCTTCCTCATCCTCCTCCTCCCTCCCTCCCTCCCTCACTCCCCCCCGCCCCCCCGCGCATCATCCGCGCCGCGGGCAACCGCGCCGATCCTTCGCCCCCGAGCGGTTCGAGCGCCCCCCCCCTCCGCCCCGTGGAGACACGCTCCGCCTGCGGGTTGGACGGACTCCTTTCCCGTGTCCAGGGCGCGGGCCCGCGGAGGAGGGAAGGGCGAGGGCACAAAGATCGCACGATCACCGAGGAACAACACGAGCATCGCTTCTTTCTCTTGGGGGGGGCCCAGCTGCACGATCATCAGGGGCCCCGCTGTACGATCGCATCGTCAGGGGTAGAAGAAGAAACAAACACATAAACCTGAACTTTTGGCGCTCCGCGCGGATTTCTTGGATCCGCGCTGGACCCCCCTTCCCTGGCGCGCGGAGCGCGCCGGGGGCGGCGGGACGGAGGCTCCGCCCGGAAGGTCCCAGGCGCGGATCCAAGAAATCCGCGCGGAGTGCCAACAGTTGATGTTCATGTGGTTTGTTCTTCTTCGAAGGGGGCCTCCCGAGAAGATTGCCGAGCCAAGCCGCTGCCACGGGCTTCCCGAAGGCGGTCCTCTCGGGCTCTACCGGGCGGCTCCGCCAAAACCTCAGGCCAGGGACCGCCGAGCTCCGACGCGGGCGCTGATGTCGGAGGAGACAGGGGATGGAGGACAGGGAGGACGCTTCCAGTGCTGCAGGTATGCCCCCTCCTCCTCCTCCTCCTCCTCCTCCTCCTCCTCCTCCTCCTCCTCCTCCCTCCTCCCTCCTCCCTCCTCCCTTCCTCCCTCCTCCCTCCTCCCTCCTCCCTCCTCCCTCCTCCTCCTCCTCCTCCTCCTCCTCCTCCTCCTCCTCCTCCTCGTCCTCCTCCTCCTCCCTCCTCCGCCCCCTCGCGGTGCCCCGCTGGCTCCCCAAGCCCGCCGCACGCCGGCGGCGCCAGCGTCAGGAGGCAGGGAAGGAGGAAGAGGGAGGCGGAGGAGGAGGACAAGGGTGGGAGAAGAACTCTGGTGTTGGACTCCGCTCGGGGGGGGGAGAAGCAGGACGACGGGGGAGGAAGAGGAGGAGGCGGTCCATTGTCTTTTTTGCTCATGGCCGTGTTCGGGACTCAACCCCCGAGCTCAAGGCCGTGGCTGGCCAGGTGTTCTGCCACTCGAGACCCCAGTGGAGACCGCCCAGACAGGGGTGGCCCTTCTGTTCTCTCGACCACCGCTGACGCGGGCACGCCTTCTGCGATCCCAACCTGTCGACCGTCCGTCTCTGCAGCCATCACATCTGCGTGCCTCCCTGATGGCACGGGGCTGTCAAACAGTATGTCCAAGAGACCCCCAAGATCGCCCCAATACGGCCCAACAGGCCCCCAAGATGGGCCGAACACGGCCGAAGAGGGCCCCAAGACGGCCCAAGAGGCGCTCAGGACAGCCCGAGACGGCCCCAAGAGGGCACCAAGAGGCGCCCAAAACGGCCCAAGGGGCCCCCAAGACGGCCCAAGAAGCGCCCAAGAGGGGGAACGCGATGCGAAAATCCAGGCCTTCAGCCCAAAAAGGGCCCCAAGAGGCCCCAAGAGGCCCCCAAGAGGACCCCGGGAGGCCCCCAAGAGGCCCAAAAAACTGCGCTCCAGACGCTCCCGAGAGACCACACACGGCCTCCAAGAGACCACAAGAGGCTTCAAAACTGCCTCCAAGAGACTCCCGAAACAACTGCCAAGAGACCCCAGCAGCGCCGCATTGACAACGATCCCTCGGGCAAACGGCAGAGGTGAGGCTACATGGCCGGCGGAATGAGCAAAGCGACTAAGTCAATAGGCACAAATCACAGGATTTCCCAGAACAGGACATCCGACTCCCAGACGCGAATCGGCGCGAAAGACAACACCACGAGGGGGCACGCGAGGCTCCCACGATTTGTTCTACCCAGCGCTCGCCCCGATGCCCGATCCCTCGCGCCGCGGCGCGGGCGGGCGCCGCAGTCCCAACCGCTGGGAGAACTCCACGTAGCGCAGCCACCACTCCACCTTCTCGGGGTCCCCGTCCTGTGGGCGCGGCGGCCGCCCCACGACCCGCCACCGCGCCCCCCCAGTGGCACGCCGGGGCGCGGCAGATGAACCCAGGCGCTGTCTGGCATGGGCTTCTGCACAGTCGGCCCGTACTAGGCAATCGAACTCTATACACCGAAACTTTTTCCGGCTTGGCACCGAAACTCGAACAGGAAAGCGGATCCTGGTGTATACGGGATCCTGGTGTATACATTTGCCGCTGTTTCCCATGGAAAATGTGGAAACCAGTATACACCACACGACCCCGACGTCGTCCCCGACCCTCAAAAGGTCGTGGGATTGAAAAGCAGCCCACCACTGGTAATGTATATGTGTTCCAATTCCCGACGTATCACAGGGACGCGCGATGAGAATGCCAAGGGCCCTGGACGCCCACTTCGAAGCTTTCCGAGCGGGGCGCGGCCGACGACAGTGGCCAAGGATGGGCCGAGTAGGCAAGGATGCAAGGGTACTCTCGGGAGGGTCGCCCATCCTTACCATGCGGGCTGACTGTGCTCCTCTGAAGGCCCCCCCACCCGTCCAGGGGTCGATTCAAGCCCAACCCCCCCCCCCCGCCTAGAACAAAACAACAACACAGCATATTCCTCTTCGCGTTCTGCTCCATGAGTCCGGTTTCGGGCTGCCTGAGCACTCCTCCGTTTCCCCCGCGCTCAGCCCACCCCCGCAAAGACCAGGAGGCCGCGGGTGCAAACCCCTCGGGGCAGGGCGAGTTGACACAACGGCAGCTCACAACAAGTCCATGGGCCCCTCCAAGGGTCTAAACGTAACTGTTTCCCGAATTGCGTGCGCCCGTGGCAGCGAAGGGCTCCCCGAAGGCCAACTTCCGCTGTCTCAACTGACCCTCCTCTGAAAATCCCTCTCCGCATCCTTGTCCCACTCCGCCTCCTCGCCCTCGGTCTCCCCCTCCTCCCCCTCCTCCTCCTCCTCCGCCTCCGCCTCCGCCGCCTCCTCCTCCTCCTCCTCCTCCTCCTCCTCCTCCGCCTCCGCCTCCGCCTGCTCCCCGCCTGCTCCTCCTCTTCCTCCCATTCCTCGAGGCCGACTGCCCGCTCTCGCAGCGGCCAGCCCGCCCAGAACGGTATGCACGCGCGCCCAAAAGGCCCTCCGCTGTGGCCCGCGCCGCGCCCCGGAGAGTGACGGTCGCAGCGCGCCCGCCGACAGGACGACGACGACGACGACGACGACGACCAAGACGATCGCCTGCAATGCAGCCCCAGACATGATCGCGTCGTTCAAAAAATCAGGACGGCACATTTTTCGCTATTTTCGGCCCCTGGGGGCCCTTACTGGGCCTCAGGACCGTAAACAACGGCTCAGGATGAAAAGCCGGCCCCGGAGAAAGGGTCTGGTCTTCTGGGGACGCCGTCCTGAAAAACATCCGGACGTCGCATCTGGGACAGTACGATGATAATGTGAATTAGGTTTTGTTTGACAATGAACGGCCGACGCTTAGGTGCAAAGCTATGTCACACCGTCTGACGGCGGATACAACGATTTGAGCCAGATGTCACGGATTGCACAACTACTTGAAGGGTCTACATTGGAACGCCTCCCCATCGGTCTGATGGCCCACGTCGGGAAACTACGTGCACACTTCTATGAATTCACGTACCACCGGCGGAACCCATGATCCACTTACCCCTGTTCCCCCACGTCTCAAGGATCCGCTAGCCGCTGAAATTCCTATAGGCCTGACCTCAGCTCCCGCGGTCTTCGACTCGACTTCGACGCTGAAATTCTCACGGCCTCCTCAAGAGCGGTTATGGAACATTCACCGTCGCTCTTGACACTTACTATCCTGTACCCGGTGAGCGGCATCCTTTGTGCCGTGACCCTGGGCGAACAACTGCCCGTCCCTCCATATTTAGCTCATATTTCCCGCAGTGCATACCGAATCTGGGGTTACCTGGTGTCACATATTCACCGCCTTCCATTCTTGCCCCAAGCTAGCATGGGCTCTTCAGCCAACTGACATGTCATCTGTATTCGTCCTGTCTCTCATTTGGGCGCACCTTTCTTCTGGCTCTGCCTCGCACGCAGCGGGGGCGCAAATTGCGACGCGGCACGCGGCTGACATTGCGATCATCCGCGTCTGTTGTGCGGGGGCAAGGGTCGCAGGTTACACTCGTGGCTGTCTCGACATCCTCGCGGACAAACGCGTCCAACATTTCGCTGCTCATGTTTTCACTGGGTTCGCCTCTTCCACTGATTCACTGGGACTCGCAGGGCCCGGTCGGCCACCGCGCCCTCGGCGCGTCGTAGCGGAGTGCCTCACGCAACACATCGAGATGGAGGGCTCGTGGTTCACGAGCCCGGGCCCCCCGTTCCCCGGGCGGCCCTGGGCCGCAACTGCGCCCTCCTCGGGCGGCCACTCGGGCGCGTCGCCCTGGAATCGGGGGCGCCGCGAGCCCCGGGATGGGCCGAGAGAGCCCCTGGACAGTGGAAGAGCGCCCCGAGTCGTCGGAGGATCGGCCGAAGACGCCTAAGAAGGCATCTAGACGGCCCGGCCGAGAACGCGCCCCCAGGGGCTACGGGGCGGAGGGGCGCGGGGGGGAGCACAGAGACGGGAAGGCTCGGGCCTAAAGGGGGGCACGGTCGGCCGGTCGGTCGGAATAAGGAGACGGGGACCACGGGGCGAAAAAGGGAGGCACAGTCGGTCGGTATAAGCAAACGGGGGCGCACGGGGCGGAAGGGAGGGGCACGGTCGGTCGGTCGATCAGAATAAGCAGACGGGGGCCACGGGGCGGAGGGGGGGGAACAGTCGGTCGGTCGGTCGGAGTAAGAAAACTGGGGCCACGGGGCGGAGGGGCGCTGGGGGGAGCAGGATCGGGCAGCAAGGAGGGCACGGTCGGTCGGTCGGAATAAGCAGACGGGAACCACGGGGCGGAAAAGGGTGGGGCCACCGGGCGGAGGGGAGGGGGCACGGTCGGTCGGTCGGACGGAATAATAAACAATCGGGGGCCACGGGGCAGAAGGGTGCGGGGGGGGAGCAGGGGGACGGGAAGGCACGGTCGGGCAGCAAGGGGGGCACGGTCGGTCGGTCGGTCGGAATGAGCAGACGGGAGCCACGGGGCGGAGGGGCACGGGGGGGCAGGCAGAGCACACAGGGGCGGCACGCACCAAGGCCACAACCAAGCACGTATCCCAACACACGACGCCAGCACACATCCCAGCACGTATCTCATCGGGGGGGCACAAGGGGACGGGAGGGCACGGTCGGGCAGCAAAAGGGGCACGGTCGGTCGGTCGGTCGGAATGAGCAGACGGGGGCCACGGGGCGGAGGGGCGCGGAGGCGCAGGCAGAGCACATGGGGACACGCACCCAGGCCACACCCTAGCACGTATTCCAGCACACGAAGCCAGCACACATCCCAGCACGTATCCCAGCACACAGCCCTGCACACGAAGGCAGCACACGTCCCAGCACACATCCTTCTCCAGCGCACATCCCAGGCACGGTCGGGCGGTCCCTGCAGTGCGGAATCACACCGGTAGGTCTGATAATAATGAAACCACTCCCCTGCGTGGGCCGTCCTGGTTCTTAGGGCTGTTACTTCGAACGGTAAGGGCAGCTCATAATCTGAGTAATACTTCGCGGGCTTCTCTACATGTGCGCTCCAATGTTCGAGTTGAACCGACGTGCCGCTGCCGCTGATCTCCTTGAACTGCTGAAACTCATGGCTGAACTCATCTGGGCCGAGACTGCCAGCCCCGCCGCGGCAGAATACCACGTGTACATCTTCGCGCGCGCAATGAATTCGTTACCTTCCTCAAGGCCGTGCAACTCCCTCTGTGCCTCAACGCGCCCTAGCTTGTCTTCGAGACGCACCATAGGTTCTCATCCAGCTTGTGGATCTCATCCTCGTCCAGGACGAATGCGTCGCAACAGTCACAGAATTCCTTTTTCTTCTTCCCTCTGGTGATGCCTCTGTTGCACCCCGCCGCTGCCACTCCCATTCCAATAGTTCGAAACCTTTTTTCGTTCAACTCTGGGGCAGCCCCGTCCATTGTTTACAATTCTGAATTCAATGGTACGTTTAACGACGTGTCATTCCATTCTCGAGATTTGATCTCGTCTCCGCTGGAGATGAATTTCCTCTGATTCACCTGGGGGCATTCAATGCGTCTTGCTTCGGCCAGATCCAATATGTTTGAATACCTGGGCGACGATTCCATGTGTTCATATGATCGTCGACCATTATTTCCGGTTCGGCCATTCGCGCTGTTGAGTCAATGTGTGTTCGCTTCGTGTTGGTTTTCCGCTTCGTGTTGTCAGCAATGATGCTTTAGACATTCCACACATCCTCTTTCGTGACATCGCGCGCTCGCCCGTGTTAGATTCGTGTCAAGGGGAATTGTCATCGCATCATGGTTGGCATACAGGCCAACTTTGACGAACTCGTAATCAAATTGGCTGTACGCGGTAGAACACTTGCACTCTATCCATTCTGGCCGCGATGTCGGGATTTCTGTGCCCGGATGTGTTGCCATAACATTTTTCCGCTAAGATGCACCATTCGCAGAACGATGGTACTGAGGGCCAAGCTCTGTTACACAATGGGCTGCCGACGCTAACGTACAAAGCTATGTCACATCGCCTGAAGGCGGTTACGACTGCTTGAGCCACACGTCACCGTTTGCGGAAAAAACCTGAGGGACTACATTGAAACACCTCTTTGTCCTCCTCCTCCTCCTCCTCCTCCTCTTCCTCCTCCTCTTCCTCCTCCTCCCCTCCTGTCGGCGACGGGGGGCGAGGGTGAAGGGGATCGATGCATCCAGCCGCCCGGTCAGCCAACAACCTGTGCAAACTAGACGCCCCCGCTCCCCAGCTACTGGGACGGTGGAGCGCCCATACACAGATTTCCTTCGCCGAGTCCCGATGAGACGGCGTGGTGTATACCTCGAGCCCCTCCAAGACTGCGGGTTGCGGTGGCGACCGCGCGCCGAGGGAGGAGGAGGGAGAAGGAGGGAGGAGGATGGAGGCGGAGGGAGGGAGGCAGCAGGGAGTAGGGTGGAGGGAGATAGGGAGGAGGAAGGAAGAGGCGGAGGCGGAGGCGGAGGCGGAGGCGGAGGAGGAGGAGGAGGAGGAGGAAGAGGAG